TCTTTTACAACATGAACCCTTCTATAAGTACTGAAACTAAAGCAAATAGAAGAAGGACTAGTACCATAAAAAAACATTTTTAGAGAAATGAAAAAGCAAAAAACTCAGAAATCAAGATGTGTTTTTGTAAAGTTACACCAGTGTGCCTGTCTCTACTACTTCCACCTCCTCCACTTCTCTGCCTCTGCTACCCCAAGACAGCAAGACAAACTTCTCCTTTTCCTTCTCTTTGGCCTACTCAATGTGAAGATAACGAGGACTGAAGACTTTTATAATACACTTCCACTTAATGAACACTAAGTATATTTTCTCTTATGATTTTCTTAATGTAATCTTTTCTCTAGCTTACCTTATTGTAGGAATACAGTATACTACTATACATATAACACACAATATATGTGTTAAGCAATAGTTTATGTTCTCAGTAAGGCTTCTGGTCAGTAGCAGCCTATAGGCAGTTAAGTTTTGGGGGAGTCAAAAGTTATATGCAAATTTCTGGCTTCACTGAGAATTTGTGCTCCTAACTCCTACATTGTTCAAGGGCCAATTGCATTTTAAACTTTAAACCCTAACTAAAGTCTCCTAGCCATGACAAAGTAGGGGGGAAAAAAAAACACCAGATACCCTGGAAAGCCTGTTTTTAAACCTTGGTCTGCTACTTCCTGTTAAGTGATGTGTGTCTAAAATGGAAATTAATTACTTTATCTACATCTGTCCACCTGATGAGGGTTAAAGATTATGATGTAAATGTATACACAAATAATACGCCTTTCAATCTGAAAACATTTATACATAGACTGTAGCATTTACATATATTCAGCATTTATATATAATCAGCATTTATATTCACTAGAAATAAATTTTAGGCCAAGTGGCAGAATGCAAGATTCATCAAAGACCTAATAGATGACCTGTTTCAGGTATGCCCAAGATACAGATTCAGAAATTTAGGAGATCTTTTACATTCTCTTGTTACAATTTCTGGGGAAAAAAAATCTAAAATCACTGTATTCCTCTAGTTCTGTAAGTTCTTATTACTGAAAAAAGTATGGCAAAATGACTGAAAGAAGGTCCCTGCCATTACTGAATTTTGAACAGAGGGAGAACCAGACATTTAAACAAATATGAAAGCAATTTAATAAATAAATCCAAATACTTTTTCTGTTTACTGTGAGACCTTGGTATAAATTTCCTTATCTGTAAAATAGGAATAAAAGTATCTGTCTCAAAAAGAAGTGAGCAAAGAGCCGTGAAGTACACCTAATACAGAAGAGCTCACTAACAGGCAGCTCTTAATATAAGGTAAGAGCAACACAGCACAGAGATAAAAGCACCTCACTTTCAGGTGTCAAAAGTTATTCGGCATTCAAGACTCTCCCAGAGACAGTTTCTCTGGCAGATAAGGGATGCATCCCAAATGGAAGAAAAAGCAGATATAAAGTTATTTATATATTCAACAAATTCATATATTCAACATATATTCATATATAGATACAAATGCTAGGTGTAGATACAGATATGGAAAAGACTAATCTTGGCAATAAGAACTGATCATATTCAATAAAAGAAAAGCCAGGGGAAGAGATTCCTTAGGTAATCAGAATCCCAATGGTGGTTAATGAAAGGAGTCAGATAGATTGCTTTAGGAAGACAGTAAGGGAAGGGTCCCCCGAGAACCTCCGACTCACCCCACAAAAGCTTACACCAGATGCTTTGTATAGATAAGGGAACTTGCACTGGGGCTTGCCTAAACATGCCCACAGTGGACTAAGGGCCTGCATGTCGCATGTGCACTGCGGGGAATGTGGTGAAGCCACCAGGAATTTGTGCCTTACACAGATAGGGAACCCAGCTCCATACATATATATGCCATTGTATTCAACTGTGAGGGTGCAACCCGGAACCTGCTTTCAGGACCCCTCTCTGCTGAGAGCTTTCCTTTCGCTTTATAAAATCTACTCTATTCACTCTTGAAGTGTCTGTGTGCCTAATTCATCATTGTGAGACAAGAACCTGGACCTAGCGGAGCTAAGGAATAAAAAATCTTGCATCATTAAGAAAACAGGAAAATGAGAAAGGGGAAATTGATATAAAGTGAATTATTGGTTTGTGGTAATTATCTAATATAAAACAGAATTATGTTCTACTAGGAAAAATCTCACAAAAAAAACAGGTATACTGGCTGGGTGTGGTGGCTCATGCCTGTAATCCCAGCACTTTGGAAGGCTGAGGCGGGCGGGTCACTTGAGGCCAGAAGTTCAAGAGCAGCCTGGCCAACAAGGCAAAACCCCATTTCTACTAAAAATAATACAAAAATTCACCAGGCATGGTGGCATTTGCCTGTAATCCCAGCTACTCGGGTGGCTGAGGCACAAGAATTGCTTGAACCCGGGAGGTGGAGGTTGCAGTGAGCCAAGATCGTGCCACTACACTCCAGCCTGGGTGTCAAAGACACACTCTGTTTAAAAAAAAAAAAAAAAAAAGAAAGTACATTTCTGTGAGGAAAAGGTCAGGAAGATATCCAGCCCTAAGTAAGCCATATGGAGCCCTGCAATTAACTTTCATTGCTATACTCTCAAGCACTTCTGGTACTAATAATAGCACCAAAGGGAAAATCTCCATTATCTAGAAACATTTTGGATAGCCAAGTTGTCTAAGTAATTCAGAGAATATTATCTAATACATCAATTGTTATTTTAACTATTTTGGATGGAAACTTGTGAAATGTATTCTAAGCTTCCCTCTTCTTAAATGGAATATGAAATTAAATATAATTTTTTCTTGGGGACTCATGGGCATGAACTATGAAAATCAAATATTATCCTAGGCCAGAAAACAGCCTTGAAGTGTATAAGGCTCACATCAAATGGCTCCTTTCCAGTTTTCATGTTGCATCTTCCCTTACGTCACTTTGTCCTTTCCTGTAAACTATCTTCTTTCGGTTGGGTTCAGTGATGCCTCCTTCTAGTATCTCCTCCCATGCTTCCTCCTTTTATCCTCTGAAGCATAACTGTTTGGAAACCACATCATCAAATCTGAACTATCCAAGTAAAAGTAAACAGGTTTTGAGAGAGGGATCAATTGGTTATTTTATGTGAATGGTCTTTAGTGCATGGGTTTATTTATTCTGGCTATCTTGAGACCTTTTCAATTTAATTCCAGCTTCTCAACTATGTCAAGTGAGAAAGCTGCCAGTGAAGTTAATTTCGGGCAGTAAACTATTGTCACACCTTGCTACAACATTTTATGGATTTTCTCTTTGTTTTTGAATCTCTGCAAACTGTTTAAACAATGCCTTCTAAATGTGAAGCAAGGACCCAATACCTAATTTAGTTATATTGTTACAAGGTATTTATAATTTTCATTTGGCTACAGCATAATCATGTGCCTGCTGATAGATGTTGCTTATATGGACTGTATGAGACCTAAAAATTCCTTAACTTTTCATCTTTAAGTTATGTAAGAAATGGGTTAGTATGCAAATTAACACCCTTAATCATAATATTAGTTCTAAATTCTATATTGGGTATATACCAAAAACAAGATGCCTATATTGGACCCAGAATTCATTTTAAGAAATATTTTATACAAAATTACTCATGCTGTTTCTAGGTTCTTAACATGTATTTTAATATTAACATGCTTATATACTCATGTATGTATATAATATACATAAAACACATTTTATATGACATCATGTTATATTAGATTCAATTCATGCTAGGTCACAAAAAATTTGCAAAGTATCTTTAAACAATATGGTGAATCATATTTAATCTGGGAACTCTAACACTTTTTTTTTAGTCTCAAGTAAACAATATTTTTGTGATTCACTAACCTGAAACAAGCCATCAAATGGAACAAGGAATATACTTAAAACAAAATTCAAATAAAATAGCCTCTTATTTATTCTATTTCACAGGCAATGCAAAAAGTTAGTATTCTCACAGAGAACATTCAAATTTAACTTTTTATGTTGCTCTCACTACAGATGTATACCTAAACTTTCTCACTTGAAACAAATTAGATTAACAACCTCTTGTGCCAAGGACTCAATTATAAAAGAAAGGACAAAAGTTAAAAGGAAAAGGAAAGAAAAGCCAAGCCTGCTTATCAGGATAATTTATATGACTGATGAGATAAATCTAGGACCATTTGGAGTATATTGTCTGTGCCAAGAACACCTTGTTTTACCTGTAAAACAAAATATCAATGTCTCATGAAAAAGCTAATCCTTCAATGGAAAAGATAGACTAGACTTATTTTTTAAATTTTCTGATTAAACTTAGAATAATGAAAAATAATTTGTTTAATTCCTTAGCCAAGTAGCTCCGTTGTGTAAATCTGTAATGAGAACATATTGGCTGTCCCCTTCTCCTTAATCTGCCTCTTTCACTGGCCTTTATTCTCTGGCCCACCTACTTGACTTCTGTCTGCCAGAAGCCAGGTTCAGTGGCTGTTTTCACACCATGCTGATTCCTGACTGATATCCTAATGTCTCTTAGACAACCTACTTAACTAGCCTACTCCTCTGACTAGTAATGACCCCACACCTTTCACTTTAGATCTTTGTTAATATAAAAATATTTCCCTAAATGAATTAAATATACATAAAAAGAGGGATAGGATATTAGTGTTTCAAAACACAAACAGTTGAGGCCTCTAAAAAGAGAAAATCGTGATAATAACCAAGCAAAAGTACAACTCTGGTCCTTTCACAGATTATATATTTTTAAAACAACCTCAATAATTTTCATTCATCATGTGGTTCTGTCACTAGAGATTCTGTCCTTATGTTCCTTTCCCAGAAGAAGCATCACACAGAAGAAGAAGAAATTATTCTAAAACTCAATAATTATACTCAAGTGACTATATTTTTCAGGATAATTTTGTATTCTTCTCACCAAATCATACTCTCAAATTAGTCAGAAGCACAACTTCTTAATACTCCAGCATAACATCCTGGTTTGTGAGTGTATTTTTAATTGATATATACTTACTTAGGCTACTTAGTTGTCTAATTATATTTGCCAAGGAAATATTGGTTACACATTCCAGTTCGTTCTTAATGCCTCTAGGCAGTGCTGTGTGGCACAAGTGCCTAGGATCGATGTTTCTTTTCACTAGTGGCATCTTGAGATTAACTTTTATACCAGTTCACCTGTAGGAAATAAAAAACAAATTAACAATATTCAATTTCAGCCAACACAGAATGAGACTCTACCTTTCATATTGAAGAATAAAGTATGGCTGACCCTTGAACAACATGAGTTTGAACTGCATGAGTCCACTTACAGGTGGACTTTCTTTCCCCTCTGTTTCCCCTGAAAGAGCAGGACAAACCCGTCTTCTTCCTCCTCAGCCTTCTCAATGTGAAAATGATATGGATGAAGACCTTTAGGATGATCCACTTCCACTTAATGTATTTTATCTTCCTTATGGTTTTCTTAATAACATTTTCTTTTCTCTAGCTTATTTTATTGTAAGAATGCAGCATATAATACATATAACATGCAAAATATGTTAAATAACAGTTTACGTTCTCAGTAAGGCTTCTGGTGAACAGTGGGCTGTAAGTAGTTAAGTTTTTAGAAAGTCAGAAGTTATACACAGATTTTCAACAATGCAGAGGGTTGGTGCCCCTAACCTCTGGGTTGTTCAAGGGCCAACTCTATTTGCTTGTATGAAGACAATAAAAATAGAATTACGCAACTAAAAGAATCAAAATTGATTTAACTTTCAATTACTAGAATTTCAACATTATATAAAACATTTTTTTTAAACTTGCTTTTAATGTCAGTTGCTACATGGTGAATTCAGTCATGATCACTATTATTCTCCTAAAAACATTGTTTTTATTTACTATAATAGGGATCTTGTGCTAGAGGGTTATTTTGAGATGTCCTCTCTAAGGAAGTACATAAAAAGATTAAGGAAGCTGTGAGAGTAATACCAAATTTACATTACCACATAAAATGTTCCAGGTGCTCAACAGCTCAGATCAAATACTCCAAATAGCCCTGCACCTGAAATCTCATCAGAACCTACCAGATCTTTATTTAACTGATCGAAAAGTTCAACCGTCTTTGAATTATAGGCTGCTCTCACTTTGCATGTTTCCCATATGCACAAATTCGAGTGGCTCGAGTTAAATAACACCAGTGTCCAATACCATGATTCAAATTTCACTTACTACAGTATATTAACTGTGAGCTATTCCATTGCTCTTTTTGAATAACCTAGAGCTCATGACAAACTGACTTAATTAATCAGGCTTTCGAGTAAGTGGTTTTTTTCTTTTTGGAGACACAGCCTCACTCTGTTGCTCAGGCTGGAGTGCAGTGGCATGATCTTGGCTCACTGCAACTTTCGCCTCCTAGGTTCAAGCGGTTCTCCTGGCTTAGCCTCCTGAGTAGCTGGGATTACAGGCACATGCCACCATGCCCGGCTAATTTTTATATTTTTAGGAGAGATGGGGTTTTGCTATGTTGCCCAGGCTGGTCTCAAACTTCTGAGCTCAATCTGCCTGCCTCGGCCTCCCAAACTGCTAAGATTATAGGCATGAGCCACTGCACCTGGCTTATAGTATTAATATTCAACAGGGCAAGCTCTCCTACCTTGTTCTCCAAAAACATTTATTCTTGGCCCTGTGTATTTCCATGTAAATTTTTAGAATAAGATTATCAAGTCACACATCACATTCACGCAATACACACAGACACATGCCTACCTATTGAGAATTTGACTGGAACTGTATTAAACCTATAATATTGGGAGGTACTGGTATTTATACATTTCTTTCTATCCACAAACATATTGTTCCAATTATTTCAAGATTTTTAAAAGTCTCTCAATAATGTTTTACAGTTTTCTAAAAAGAAGTCTTATAAATCCTTATTTATTTGTATGTAGATGTTTTTATAGTACTGGAAGTGGTTTGTTTTAATATTTTCTTGTTGTATATATAGAAAATAAATTGATTTTTAAAGTATTGACCCTATATCCCAAGACATTCCTAATCTCTAACCTACCTGCAATTGTTTTGGATTTTTAAATGTACATATGATTATATGTGAATAGTGACTATTTCCTCCATTCTAATCCATCTGATATCTTTTATTGCTTTTTCTTGCCTTACACACTAGCTATAATCTTTAATACAATGTGAAATATGTATTTCATATATGTAAGGATGATGGCAAACATCCTTGTCTTTTTCTTGAACTCAAAGGGAAAAGCCTTCAACAATTCACAAGGCGTCTGTAAAAGGGTTTTTTTGTGGTTATTTTGTTTTATGGACAACTTTTAATACATTAAGGAAGTTCCTTTATTTATTATTAATAGGTTTTTGGGGAAACAGGTGGTGATTGGTTGCATGCGTAAGTTCTTTAGTGGTCATTTCTGAGATTCTGGTGTATTCATCACCCAAGCAATGAACACTGTACCCAATGTGTAGTCTTTTATCCCTCACCATCCTCCCACCCTTTTCCCCCAAGTCCCCAAAGTCCATTGAGTCATTCTCAGGCCTTTGCATCCTCATGGCTTAGTTCCCACTTCTAGTGAGAACACACGATCTTTGGTTTTTTATTCTGGAGTTACTTCACTTACACTTGACTGTGTGTGTGTGTGTGTATATGTGTGTGTGTGTCACACACACACACACATTTTGTTTATCCGCTTGTTGATTGATGGGTATTTGGGCTGGTTCCATTATTTTTGCAATTACAAACTGTGCTGCTATAAACATGGATGTGCAATTATCTTTTTTGTATAATGATTTCTTTTCCTCTGGGTAGATGTCCAGTAGTAGGACTGCTGGATCAAATGGTAGATCTACTTTTAATTCTTTATTCTTTAAGGAATCTCCACACTGTTCTCCATAGTGTTTGTACTAGTTTACATTCCCACCAGCAGTGTGAAAGTGTTCCTTTTTCACCACATACACACCAATGTCTATTATTTCTTAATTTTTTTTATTATGGCCATTCTTGCAGGGAGTAAGGTGGTATCACATTGTGGTTTTGATTTCCATTTCCCTGATAATTAGTGACGTTGAGCATTTTTTCATGTTTTTGGCCACTTGTATATCTTCTTTTGAGAACTGTCCATTCATGTCCTTAGACAACTTTCTGATGAGATTTTTTTCTTGCTGATTTGAGTTCTTTGTAGATTCTGGATATTAATCCTTTGTCAGATGTATAGACTGTAAAGACTTTCTCCTACTCTGTGGGTTGTCTGGTTACTCTGCTGATTATTTCTTTTGCTGTGTAGACGCTTTTTAGTTTAATTAAGTCTTATCTATTTATCTTTGTTTAGTTGCATTTGTTTTGGGGTTCTTGGTCAGGAAGTCTTTGCCTAAGCCAATGTCTAGAAGGGTTTTTCCGATGTTATCTTCTAGAATTTGTATTTTTTTTTTTTTTTTTGGTCAGAATCTCGCTCTGTTGCCCAGGGTGGAGTGCAGTGACATAATCTCAGCTCACTGCAGCCTCCACCTCCAAGGTTCAAGCAATCCTCCTGTCTCAGCCTCCTGAGTAGCTGGGACTACAGGTGCACACCACCATGCCTGGCTAATTTTGTATTTTTAGTAGAGATGGGATTTCACCATGTTGGCCAGGCTGGGTCTCAAACTCCTGACTTCACATGATCCACCCACCTCAGTCACCATGCCTGCTCTTGGGTTAATTTATTTTTATAAAGTGAGAGATGAGGATCCAGTTTCATTCTTCGTGTAGCTTGCCGATTATCCCAGCACCATTTGTTGAACAGGATGTCCTTTCCCCAAGTTATATATTTTGTTGTTATTGTTGAAGATCAGTTAGCTTTAAGTATCTGGCTTTATTTCTGGGTTCTCTATTCTGTTCTATTGGTCTATGTGCCCCCCTTTTTTTTTTTTTTTTTTTTTGGGATGGAGTTTCCCTCTTGTCACTCAGGCTGGAGTGCAGTGGTGCGATCTCAGCCTACAGAAACTTTCGTCTCCTAGATTCAAGCGATTCTCCTGCCTCAGCCTCCTGAATAGCTGGGATTACAGGTGCCTGTCAACATGACTGGCTAATTTTTTTTTTTTAATTTTTAGTAGAGACAGGGTTTCACCATGTTGGCCAGGCTGGTCTCAAACTCCTGACCTCAGGTGATTTCCCCGCCTCGGCCTCCGAAACTGCAGGGATTATAGATGTGAGCCACTACGCCAGGCCTATGTGCCTATTTTTATACCAGTACCATGTTGTTTGGTGAATATGGAGTATAGTTTGAGGTCAGGTAATGTGATGCCTCCAGATTTGTTCTTTTTGCTTAGTCTTACTTTAGCTATGCAGACCCTTTTTAGGTTCCGTATGAATTTTAGGATTGCTTTTTCTATTTCTATAAAGAATGCCAGTGGTATTTTGATGGGAATTGCATTTTATAGATGACTTTTGACAGTATGGTCATTTTCAAAATATTGATTCTACCCATCCATGAGCATAGGATGTGTTTCCATTTTGTGTTTTCTATGATTTCTTTCAGCAGTGTTTTGTAGTTATCCTTGTATAAGTCTTCCATGTCCTTGGTTAAGTATATTTCTAAGTATTTTATTTTATTTGTTGCAGCTATTATAAAAGGGGTTGAATTCTGGATTCTCAGCTTGGTTGCTGTTGGTGTGTAGCAGTGCTACTGATCTGTGTACATTAATTCTGAATCCTGAAACTTTGCTGAATTCATTTATCAGTTCTAAGAGCGTTTTGGATGAGTCTTTAGGGTTTTCTAGGTATACGATCATAACATTGGTGAACAGTGATAGTCTGACTTCCTCTTTACTGATCTGGATGCCCTTTATTTCTTTCTCTTGTCTGACTGCTCTGGCTAAGACTAAGGAAGTTCCTTTCTATTACCAGCTGCACAAGATTTTTAAAAATCACGTTATCAATGTTTTTCCTACATCTATTATGATAATTATGTGACTCCTACTCTGTTAGCATGGTGAACTATGTGGACTATGGTTTTTGTTGCTGTTGTTGGTAAACAACCCTGCATCCTTGGAATCAACCTAATTTAAATGACATGTATGTGGTAGGTAGAATAATGGTCTCCCAATGCTATCCATGATCTTATTCCCCTGAATCTATGAATATGTTACATTATATGGCAAAGGGCTTAGAATTAAGGTAGCTGACGGAGTTAAGATTT